ACATCACCACATTTTGCAGCTAAATTCCGCTACCTCTGCACCTCAGTTTTAAACATAAAAGTCACAACAGTTAACGTCTAAAAATGGCCGATATTAATATGTCTTCTATTAGGAAAAAGGGTGATGCCTATCACTTGGTATTTATTGACGTTGATTCCTAAAGAAAAGCACAAGAGGTTTCCTTTACAAAAAGACTGATTACAGACTACAGGAGAAGTAAGCCCGATGGTCCCTCTGGTGGCCTAGAGAAGCTACCACTCTCCAGAGTACCTAACATGCCTAAGGAATCAACACCTAATAAAAATACAGTCCTTCTATAATGACGTAATGTATGGTGATTAACATAACATAATAAAAAAAAAGAAAACTAAAAAAAAAAATAATAGCGTCCTTCTGAAGCTGTAGATTCATGCGGAAAAGACCCATCTGGTTGCACAGGTACTGCAATGACTTCTTTTTTTTTTTTTGGAACCATCACCCACATTTATTTTTTATTTATTTTTTATTTTATTTTTTTATTTTTTATTTTTTTAATTTTATTATGTTATGTTAGTCACCATACAATACATCATTAGTTTTTGCAATGACTTCTCCACAGGGTTATATGGTCGTCAGAGAGAGAAAAAAAAAAGCAACAAGTGTCACAGGGTGGGTGAGCTGTGAAACATCACCTCGTGGCATTAACTAAGTAACCGGCTTTCCCTTCCTCCCTCATAACTGACTTACAATTGCCCCGTTACTCCCAGCTTGTCCTGGAAATATGCATGCTCCTGCATACAAGCACCTGTGTGCCCGTGCACGCGCGTGCACATGCACACACGCACACGCACACGCACTCCTGCGAGTCCCATGGATTGTGATGCCTAAATCTACTGGGTCTGGGGCAGGGCTACTCAGGGAGTCTCACTAATTTGTCTAAATACTTAAAAGATATAATCAAACTAAAGAACAGTTAAATAAGATATCTTCTATCCTCTTACGGCCATAAATACACTCACATGGCAATACATTTTTTTAAAATGTGTAAAGCTATGGTTTTTATACACACAAAATACCAAAGGCAACTAAATTTAAATATGGTTGCATATCTGAGTATTCTGTGATGGACCAGAATTGTTTGGATGAATATCAATAAAGACATCCTTAAGTCGTGGATTTTCATTATTCTATAACAATTCTTTTGTTCTTCCTAAATTCTAGCAAAATCAAGAATCATGCTATTATTGTCTATATTGTCATATAGTTTGCATTCTATTGATAGAATGTCAAATTAAACTACTTTTCTTAATTTGCTCTTTGATAGCTTCTTATTATTTTCAATTTGGAAAAACTTGACTGTGTTAAAGCAACAGCAACAAGAATTGTCAATAAAATTCTTAAGGCAATACTTGGACTTAGAAATGAACCATGAATTTTCCATATCCTGTTCAATTCTCATAATGGGGGCAACTAGGTTAAGTCATTTTTATCATATAAAATATTAGAAAATATTTTAATTTTATTATTAAAATCACTATCACTTATATTACACTACCTACTGCTCTCTTAAAGCAATATCTAAACCTTTATGGTATTTCTTAAATTCTACCTCTTTCAATTTTTTTAATGCGATATAAAGAGAAAACTGAAAATAACAGTACATTACTCAGTTTAAGTCTCTCTTCATTTAAGACTATGCCTTCAACCAAAAGAGCCAGAAAATAGTCCCCATAAGAAATTAGTGTCAGGACTATTTGTACAGCTCATTTCAAGGCCTGGTGCATGGCTGTCATCCTGGAACACACCTTCTCTGCCTTCAGTTGGACTTCTCATTCCTAGAAGTATATTTCCAGAATCCAACTTCATTACACCCTCTCACTAGATTGATAGTTTACCACTGTTTACAATTCCACATTTTTTTAAGATTTTATTTATTTATTCATTTATTTAGAGGGACAGAGAGCATAAGCAGGGGGGGAGGGGCAGAGGGAAAGGGAGAATCTCAAGTGGACTCCACATTGAGCGTAGAGCCTAACACGTGGCTCAATCTCAGGACTCTGAGATCATGACCTGAGCCGAAATCAAGAGTCCGACGCTTAACTGACTGAGCCACCCAGGTACCCTCCACAGTCATTTCTATTCAGAATATTAACGGAATTGTGCCATTAGTCTCCAGCGTTGATGTCAGGAAGTCCAAAGCCATTTAGCTTCTAGTTCCCTTGTATATAACCCATTTGATTATTCTCGAAGATTTTAGAATACTCTTTTCTCAGATATTTGCACGACTGGCTATTCTTTCTCATTATCCAGTTCTCTGCTGATCTCTGTAGGGATCTTTCTTGATGAAAGAAGCCCTCACATGTCTCTCCCACATCACCATTTTTTTTTAAAGATTCCATTTATTTATTTGAGAGAGAGAGAAAGAGAGACAGAGAGAGAGCGAGCCTGAGCAGGGGGAGGGGCAGAGGGAGAGGGAGAAGCAGACTCCCTGTTGAGCAGGGAGCCCAATGCAGGGCTCAATCCCAGGACCCTGGGATCATGACCCAAGCCAAAGGCAGACACTTAACTGACTGAGCCACCCAGGCGCCCCCCACATCACCATATTTTATTTTCATCAAAGTATTTATTGTTATGTGGTATTTTCTAGTTCTACTCTTTTCTATATTGTCCATTAAATAAACTATAAGCCTTACAAGAATTCATTTGCTTCTGAATCCCCAGTGCCTAGGACAGTGAGCAGGTACTCAATAAATGGTTATTGGGTAAATGAATGAAAGCCTGTGTACTAGCATTACTTCCAGAAGTAGAGTAAGAATAGCTTTTCAATTGATATTTCTAAATGACATGAAATAAGATCATATGCAGGATCCCATTTTTGTCATGGTGTTTATATTTACTACAAACATGGTCTTCTTGCCATAGTAAATCATAAATCAGGAGCCCAAAAACTTTAAAACTAAAATCAAACTTTTGAGCAGTTCAATTTATTTGTCTTCAGAAAGCAACGGCCTCGGGCCAAATTATCTTCTTTCCTTACAAAAATTAATAATTATTAGGTTAAAAGTTAATGTCATCAACTTGATTCTAGTAGAGCAATGACCTGAAGAAGACAATCCAGCAAGGTACACAAGCGTGCAGGCTTCAGCATCAGACGGACTTGGTGTTGACCCCAAGCTCTGCCATGTAGGAGCTACGTGTCCTGGGGTTTGTTATTTAGCCTCTCTAAGCTAGTCTCTGAATTATGATAGTACTTGTCTCCTAGGCTATGATGAGAGTCCAAGGAGGTCACTAGTTTAAAATTCTAGGCAGAGTCCCTGAGCATTAATAAATGTTAGCTATAATTATTGTAAGAAATTATCTATTTGAACATTTTCATATTCTTTGCAAAATCTTGGCTGAAAGTATCATTCATTACATTGCATGAAATAATTTCCTCTCTTAGCTCAGTGCTAACACAAAAATGCCTCTTCAAACACACTTGAGATTCTCCTTAATCAGGTGGGGCAAAGTATATGACTGATCATGTTTTCTTTCCAGAAGGAAATTCAGGTCACTTGCCATAATAACCTCTTCCAGATATCTTTTTTTCTACTTTTTGTTTTTTCTTAACTGGCTTTCCTTGATTTTATTTTCAATTCTTCTTTTTTATATTGTGTTTAACTTTGTAGCTTATGGCTCTACTATTTACCAACTGAGTGACCCTGGGGAAGTTACTTAACATCTGAAGTTCCACTTTCCTCATCTGTCAAATGAGAATTGTTGTGAACACCAATGATACTGTCACCTAGCACCCTTTTTTCATAGCCACTCCTCTACTCCATCCATATGCTCTTGCAAGCCATACAAGGGCCCAACCCTCTAGATTAGTCTAGAAGTGGACATCTAATTCAAGCCAGGCCAAGGAGACACTTGCCAGGAATTTTGGATTTGGACTGAGAGTCAGGTCAATTTCCTTCTAGTGACTGAAACTTTATGTAAGATATAAACCTCAGGAGTTGCTAGTGGCTGTTTCCCACTTATGGAAGAAGCCAGTGCACAGTGAAAGAAAGAATGACTCTAAGCTATGGGGAGGAGGAAGACAAGGACTTCTTATGGTTCTAATGGTTCCTAGGTTCTTGCTCTTCCTATAGCCTGGCTCTTCCATTAGACAGCCCACTAGCTTTCCAATAAAGTCTCCTTTCTGCATACATAATTTGGGTTTGATATCCATCACTTGAAACCAAAATAGTTCTAATATGTAGAAAATAAACTCTATTTTGAATAATTGTTATAAAAAAATAAACGAGAGGGGCGCCTGGGTGGCTCAGTCGGTTAAGTGTCTGCCTTCGGCTCAGGTCATGATCCCGGGGTCCTAGGATCAAGCCCTGTGTCAGGGTCCCTGCTCATGGGGAGCCTGCTTCTCCCTCAGCTGCTCCCCCTACTTTTGTGTTCTCTCTCTGTGTCAAATAAATAAATAAAATCTTTTTAAAAAATTAAAAGTAAAAGTAAATGAGATAAAACAATTAAGTGCCTAGCATACTACCTGGCATATAACAGTCACTCAAGAAATGATACCTATTAACATTATTTAGAAGATGGGGATACAAATTCTAAATCAATTAATTAATGAACACAATTTTAACAGCTTACAAATCTTTTTCTCTTGCAGTTTCAAAATTACTCAAAGGGATTCTTTGGTTTTGGATCTTGAAAGAATTGCAAAATAAGATAAATGCTCTGATTAAGTTTGCTATATATCACTGTGTAAATCTAAGTAACTCATACATATAGTTAAATAATGTTAGAGAATAATAAAGTCTCAGATCCAGTAACCCTCAATTTCTTGCTTAACTCACTTGTTCAGGTAAATATATGGAGGAAAATTAGAAAAAGAATATAGACTTACATTCCACATATCTCACATACACAAGAATAAGTCAGACACATTTAAGTGTGTAAAATACTGATTTGGCTGCATTCACAGAAGTCTTCACATTATATAAAGGATGCAATATAGTAAAGAGAAAATGGAATCACCATACCTGTAGAGATACCACACTGACATTATCAAAATGGATGTGTCCATTAGGCTCTGTGACAGCTGGATTTGCATAACACGTCACACCATTGATGGCAGGTAACGTTTTAGGCTGATGAGTTTTCTCATGAGAAGGACCAAAGTCATCATTTCTAAAGTGGGTATGATCATTCTACATGAAAAAATTTAAAAAGCAAGAGGAAGTTATAAGAATAAAAAATGATGGCTCACACATACAAGAAAGTAGAGAGTTTAGGGCTTTTTATTTGTAAGAGAAAATTTGTATGTCTATTCAATATATAATCTTTTTAGATTTATAAATGTATCTTCATTTATTAGATTGTTTTTTCATGTTAGGGTACATATGCCTTCTTATTTTGATGAACATGAATGAATACAAATTGTGCACATTTTTCTTGACATTAAATTGTTGGTACTTATTCCAAATTATACACTGTCAATCTTTTATATTTATCAATATATCGACTCTTTTCTTTCTACTCACATTCACAAGTCTAATAACTGTGCTGTTCACATAATTACAAGAATAAATTCCTGGGGCACCAGGGTGGCTCAGTCAGTTAAGCATCTGACTCTTGATTTCAGCTCAAGTCATGATCTCAGGGTTGTGAGATCGAGCCCTGTGGCAGACCCCGCACTGGGCGCAGAGACTGCTTAAGATCCTCTCTCTCTCTCTCGCCCCTCCCTCTTTCTCTCTCTCAAAAAAAAAAAAAAAAGAATAAAATTCCTGCCTTTATTTGCCTTTAAAGCTATATAAAGTAGCTTTAAGGGGTCAAACATCAAACATTTTCAATAAAATCTATTTACCTGACCATAGGTCTTTAATAACATCTTAAGCACTCTTTCAAAGAAGAAAAGTAAGTAAAATCCACCAAACACAGCAACTGCCTTCTCAACATAGTTGTCACTTTTGGGATTGAATCCAAATGCCTGAGAGAGAAAAAAAATTCAGGTAAAACCAAGTAATTTAACCTGATTTCTGAAAAATAATAAGAAATCTTTCAGTATACAATTTTCACCAAAGTTCTAAGTCCATCTTCAGATCAGGTCATACTGGGAATTTAACCACCAAAATCACAAAACAAAAACTCTGAAACTTAAGTAACTAAACTGTAAGAGATCACACAGGAGTCTTATACCAGAGGAAGTTCTATTAATAAAACCCCCAGAGTATCTTATAGTTTCCTAGCTATAGGATAGTTTCGTATCTTATAGTTTCCTACCTTCAGCAATATTTGCCTTGAAAGAGAAAGCTTTTCATAGTAAAGGAGAAGCACTGATTCCCACCTTTATAGATAATATTAGATCTAGGTAATGAAGAAAAATGAGACATTGATAATCCATTTTCTCTAAAAGTAATATATTTGTCCATCATACCCAGATTGAAATTTTTAAAGCAAATATGACAAGCCATTTGGATTGCTGTTTTCCCAAGAGAGATCCTTTTAAACCTAGAGGATCCTAGTAGGCCCTAAAGAGATAAAGAACTCAAGGGCTGGGCCCAAGAATGAAGAAGAAAAGATTTCTTTCACACACACACATACACACACACACACACGTGAGAATGAAATAATCTACCGTTTAAAGGACATAGGGCAAGAGCTAGGGTTTGAAATTATAAAGAGTCAAGGTTTTCCTAACAGACAAGACACACAAACTTAAATAAAAGCTGCAATAAATGTCTAAGGACATTTTGTGGTTTATCTTCAGTAAATCTGACACTGTAGGCTCTTTAGAAAATAAATAATAAAAGTACATAGAAAAATTAAATTTGCCAAATGCAAGACAAAATAAATTTTTAAGGCCCTCAGAGGTGTCCCAGAGCTGTCTGAACACGTCCTGGTGGCTGGCCTCCTAGAATATTAATTTTATCTCTGACACTGACATCCCCTGTAGCTTGAGACAAGCTTTTTCATCTGCTGTGATTCAGCTTTCTCTTATCCAACACTATCAACCAGACCATAAAATGCTGTAGGAATTATGGAGCCTTAAAATGTACAAAGTGCTAAAACATTGAAAAGAAACAATTATTCACAGAAACAAAGAGCCAACATCCTTACCTCTGGAATAAGCTGGAAAATGGCATTTGAAAATAGAGTCCCAATAGCCAGACCCACGAAAAAGGTCAAAATCTTAGGGAAATAAGATTTCTTTATCAATGGAGTCAAAATTAATCCGAGGAGAGATGCCAGATTAATAATTGTCACTGACAAGAGTCCATAGCCCCAAACTGTAGATCAGAGGGAAAGAGTAGAAATTAATCAGCAACGAAGCCAAATGAAGTCTTACTGTACATGAAGCTTGAGACAATGTTTTTCTTTAAAAGCTTGAAACAGATACTTCTTTAAAATAACAAGATAACTCTTTTCAATGAAAATTATGCAGAAAACTGTGAACATAAATACAGAATAATAAATATAAATAGCAACACTGCTTACACTGTCATCAGCCCTTAAACCACTCAAAGGCTCAGAGAATTTTATAGCTTGCAAGGAATTCAAAGAACATCTGGAATAGTGACAAACCATCTGAGGCCCACAGGCTCCAAGTCACCTACTTTCATCTGTAGCTCAAAGCCTGGTTTAAAACTCAGCCTTTCAGAGGAATATAGAGGCAGTGTGAGTTTCAGGGAAAAGGTACAAAGTGATGGGTGGAGGGTAGGGGTGGAGATGGGTGGGTATGGGTTAGCTCCAAGGTGACCAGAGTTGCAGACACTGTGCTTGTCATAATCACTGGTCTGCAGGCACCTGTGGTGTGCACCTCCTTGGGAAGGCAACACCTCGGCCCTCCAGCTGGGCCCTCCAGGACCTGGACTCAGCCCAGTGCAGTGAGCACTCAGGAGGGGAGCACATGGGAACCAGAGAGTAGCTGTGTTGCACAACTCGCCCCGTTGAGCCCAGATTAGGGCGAAAATATCCTATGCAATGAGGACTTTGGTGACAGATGGAGGTGGTGAGTCTTTCAACTCTCTATGCCCAAGGCCTGGTACCCAATAGGTGCTTAATAAATATTGCTTACAATGAGATGAACGAATATTATCCTAAGCTTTACAGCTAGTGGCATGTGTGACCTCAGTTTCCTCCTGATTATCCTCTATAGAGGGGTTGGTTTAAGGACACCATGGGAGTGCAAGTGAAGTGTGCCGTGTGAACCCAGGACAGCCTCGGATGGCAGTGCAGGCTGACATACACTGGGCTCCAGAACCGCACAACGTGGCTTTGCCTGCGCCCCACACACTACACACGAAGGACAGTGTGAAAGATGAGGAAGCTGCCTCTGCACTGCTGCTTCTTTAAAATGCCCAGAAAACATTTTTATTTTTTTCTTTTTTAATTTTTTATTGTTATGTTAATCACCATACATTACATCATTAGTTTTTGATGTAGTGTTCCATGATTCATTGTTTGTGCATAACACCCAGTGCTCCATGCAGAACGTGCCCTCTTTAATACCCATCACCAGGCTAACCCATCCCCCCACCCACCTCCCCTGTAGAACCCTCAGTTTGTTTTCAGAGTCCATCGTCTCTCATGGTTCGTCTACCACTCCGACTTACTCCCCTTCATTCTTCCCCTCCTGCTAACTTTTTTTTTCTTAACATATATTGCATTATTTGTTTCAGAGGTACAGATCTGTGACCACTCTGGAAAACAGTATGGAGGTTCTTCAAACAGTTGAAAATAGAGCTACCATACGATCCAGCAATTGCACTACCGGGTATTTACCACAAAGAGACAAATGTAGGGATCCGAAGGGGTACGTGCACCCGATGTTCATAGCAGCAATGTCCACAATAGCCAAACTGTGGAAAGAGCTAAGATGTCCATCGACAGATGAATGGATAAAGAAGACGTGGTATATATACACAATGGAATATTATGCAGCCATCAAAAGGAATGAGATCTTGCCATTTGCAACGACGTGGATGGAACTGGAGGGTGTTATGCTGAGCGAAATAAATCAGTCAGAGAAAGACATGTATCATATGACCTCACTGATATGAGGAATTTTTAATCTAGGGAAACAAACTGAGGGTTGCTGGAGTGGGGGTGGTGGGAGGCATGGGGTGGCTGGGTGCAAGACTGTTGAATCACAGAAAACATTTTTAAATGTTAGGCCCCTTTTCTCATTGACACTCTCAATCGAGTACCGTAGCAACACCTAAGGTTTATGAGTGTTTGCCATTGCCAGCCAGCCACTGTGCTAAGAAACTGACAGGTAGGGGCGGGGCGCCTGGCTGGCTCTATTGGTTAAGCATCTGCCTTCGGCTCAGGTCATGATCCCAGGGTCCCGGGATCGAGCCCCGATTCAGGCTCCTTGCTCAGTGGGGAGCCTGCTTCTCCCTCTGCCTGCTCCCCCTGCTTGTGCTCTCTCTCTCTCTGTCAAATAAATAAATAAAATTTAAAAAAGAGAAAGAAAAAGAAAGAAAGAAAGAAAGAAAGAAAGGAAGGAAGGAAGGAAGGAAGGAAGGAGAAAGAAAGAAGGAAACTGACATGTATTCATGAATTTGATCCTCACAAAACCCTGTGAGGTAAGGACTACTATCACCTCCTTCATATGTTGAGGAAACCAAAGCATACGGAGTTCAAGTGAGCTGCCTGAGTCATGCAGAGGGAAAGCTGGATTTTGAACCCAGGCAGTCTGGCTCCAGGGCTGATGTATGTTAGCAATGTGCTTCATTACTCGTGCATAGGTATTCTAATTTTTAAAAAGACCAAGGGACTCAGCAAAACTGTAGCTATTTTATATTGTGCTTCATGAATATAAGGTTGTTCACCACTATTCTAGTTCAAACGATTCTATCTACAAATAAACAACTTTAGCAAATGCTTATGGAGCCTCACATATAGACCGAACCATGGTTCCTGCCAACAAGGAGCCTGGATCTTTTGCTTGGGGAACGGGGAAATGTGTAGGCACATATACACACAAAGCAATATATGTCGTCTATGCTGCATACCAAATAAAACGAACAGAAAGTAAATGTTACTGTTACCAGAAGAATCATCACAGCACTGACCATGACTTTATCTTCTCCAGATGCTTTCCTATCGGGTCCAGATCCCTGACCAGGCCCTGCAAAGTCATTTCATTGGAACCATAAAGGTCCACCTCACCCCTGTTTACTACCTTATCAACTAAAACAATACACCTACTCCCCTCAGACTCTCCACTTAGAGAAAGCTCGCAATCCCACCTCTCCCTCCATGGTGTAGTGATGTGTAGTTTCCTTTAACACGAATAGCCTTCTAGCCCTTCACTAGCCTACACGCATTCATTCATTCAACAAATATTTATAATCTCATCAAGTAGACAGGATTCGTACATGCTGAACCTAACATAAAAATGCAAAGAAGTTCCTGAGTGCCAAACTGAGGCAAAATCACACCCACATAAGAAACACATCACCTTCCCCTGAGAAATCTGTGATCTCCGTAGATAGCAGAAACGTTAGAATCAATTTCAATTTCTCAATTTCATAGACGATTGACGACAAAACCCTATCAGTTTTGCTTGAGACATCTCTCACTCCAGCTTCTCCGGCCTCATTGCCAATGCCTTGAGTTCAGGCCCTCATCATCTCTCACTTCTTCTTTGGATGCGTTATGACGGTCTTCCTCCCACTACGTGACGTGGCCACCAGACTTACTACCCTAAAACACAGCTTGGATCATCTCATGCCCCTATTCGAGACTACTCTTCATAAACTGACTCCCACACAACTTTTCCAGGGTTATTTGCACACTTCTCAACATGGCCTTTATGCTAACACAATGCTTTCCAAGTACAGAATGACCTCTACTCGTGGTTCTTTATCTGAAAACATCTTTCTATCTTCATTGCCTGAGAAACTCACACGTGTTTCTCTGAGCTGACTCCAAGACATCTTCTCTAAAGCTTGCCTAGCTCCTCCAGGCAGCTGTCCCTTGCTCCTCAGGCTTCCATGGCTCTTTGATCAAAACAATGAATCATAGAACACCACATCAAAAACTAATGATGTAATGTATGGTGATTAACATAACATAATAAAAAAATTTTAAAAAAGTAATTGGACCACGTACCATGTTTATAAAATCCTTATATCATGACTCCTTTGACTAGTTTTACTTTGGTTTTTCACTTCTTTGAATGAACTCAGGATTGACTCTATATTAAGTGAAGAGTTAAATCAAGAATCCAGGGCCTTTTATTACTTAAAAGATAATTTATTTGTGGGAAAAGAATAGGCTTACACAGGGAACAGGGAATGGAGTGAACCTATGAACACATGTATAAGAGGAGTGAACACATAGTCTTCCTTCTCTGTGTCAGGCACTATTCCAGGCATTTGCAATATTAACTCATTTGATACAATTCTAGAAGGAACGTACTATAATTATCTCCATTTTACAGATGAGAGAACTGAGGCACAGAGATACTAAATAAATTGCTCAACACAGCTGCACACACAACTGCACATTTTAAAATACAACCAGAGAGTACACCAAATAAAGGCAATGTAGTATCAAATTAAACAGATTAGTAATAATGAGTACTTTACCAGTTTCCCTAATTCTCCAGAAATTTTTCTCTCTCTTCTCCTACCCTGTCCCACCCACTCCAGCCCCATTTCAATTCCTAAGATAATGTGTACCCTAAGCAGCATTTCTGTCTTTATTGGGCCTCTGTCCAAATATTTGTTGCCTGTCTAATCTTGTAACTTAGAACTATTGATTTTCCATTTTATGATTTTGCAGTCTTGATCTTGGAATGCTCGCACTTCCTGCTTCCCAATTCCCTGATCCTACCTCCTGGTTCCTGAGATAGAGGAAACCTAGGAATTAAGGTTAAAAACACTTTTGAAGGTCAGTCACTAACTGGCACGGAGTAGAGGACTTGCTTTTTCTGAAGCTTCATCTCCTATGCCCAGAATCATGTACATGGTAGATATATTTTATTTAACAGATATACATAGGGCCTAAATACATTCCATATTATATTCTACATGCTTTACAAATACTAAGTTATTTAATCCTTATAGCAACCTTATGATAAAGGTACTGTTTCAGATAAGAAAACCGAGGCAGAAAGACATAGTCATGTGCCCAACATAGCTGGAAAATTATAGAGCTGGGATTTGGGCCCAGGTGGGCCGGCTTCAGAACCTATGCTTTTCATACATTATACTACTATTAAGTGTTGATATGTAAAGCATTTTCTGAATTTACTTTTAAATATAAAATGCAAACCATATTAAACAAACTTGTAGAAATACAAACATATTCCTATTTAGTATATAATCTAGAAAAATATTTGCTTAAACAATTAGTTGTAAAATTATTGTTATCCACAAAATCGCTAACTATATTAATAAAGTATGTTTGGGGCCTTCTGTTCTTCGTGTACATAAATATAGAATATAAAAGAGAACGTGGATCCTGAAGTTGAGACAGCTTGGGTTTTGAACCAGGCTTTATCATGTACAAGTTGTGTACTCTTGAGCAAAAGATTTGAAACTTCTCTGGACCTACGTTTCCTTGGCTGTAAAATAGGAACAGCAGTTCCTACACCTACATATAGTTGTAGGAAGATTAAATGAGTTAACACAGGTCAAGTATTTGGAATAGTACCCTCCACGCAGTAAGTACTACATAAGAGTTGGCTATTATCAATATTTTTGTCACTGTTGTAATTCCTGTTACTCAGATAGAGAGAGATCAAAGTATTCATATATACAAAAAGGAATCCAAAAGTCAGTAGAATAAGCACTTCCTTTGTTGAGGTGTCCCTTTTCTTCTCTATCTTTTCTTTCTTTCTTTCATTCTTTCTCTCTTTTTTTTTAAGATTTTATTTATTTGACAGAGAAAGACACAGCGAGAGCAGGATCACAAGCAGGGGGAGTGGGAGAGGGAGAAGCAGGCTTCCCGCGGAGCAGGGAGTCCAACGTGGGGCTCGATCCCAGGATCCTGGATCATGACCTGAGCCGAAGGCAGATGCTTAACCGACTGAGCCACCCAGGCGCCCCTATCTTTTCTTTCTTTATAGTCTTTTATACTCAGTATAGATGTGCTCACTCAGAACAGTGGCTTCACATGCCATCTCTAAGTCAACAAATCTCTAGCCTTGACCTGTGGTCTGAGCACTAAATGTGTGTATGCCACTGCCTACTGGACATCCCTCCTTGTGGGTCTATGTCAATGTCTCAAACTGACCCTGTGAAAAATTACACCCGATCCTCACCACTTACTTCCCCCATAAGAAAGTGCTCCTCTAGTCTTCTCCTTCCTGGGAAATGGCACAACCATCTCACCAGTTTCAGTGGCTCAAACCTTGATTCATTCTTCCCAACCCCCACATCCAACCAGAGGCAAACCATTCTAGCACAGTTTCCAAAATCCATCCTGGATCTGATCACTTCCCCTCCCTTCTACCTCTCCCACCTTAGTCCATGTCCCATCATCCTGAGCACCAACCCCTGGCAACCGCCTCCTGACTAATCTCCTTGCTTCTACTCTTACCCCATTACAATCTGTTCTTCAAACTGCAGGTAGAATAATCCTTTATGAATCCAAACAAAATCATGTGCCCCACCCCCCCACCCCACCCCCCCCGTTAGAACCCTACAGTGTCTTCATACCAGATTCAGAATAAAATCCAGTCAACTTACTGTATCCTACAAGGCCCCGGGCACCATTTCCTTCTATTCTCCCTCCTGCTTATTATGCTCCACACACACACACTTTCTTACTGTTCCTTACATACGCCAAGCTCATTGCCAAGCTTATGCTGACTGTTCCCTTGACCAAGAAGGTTCTTTTCCCAGAGAAGATCTTGCCACGGTCCTCTCCCTACCCTAAGTCAGGACTCTGCTCAAATGTGATGTCATCAGAAAGGCCTCCTCTGACCCTATCAAAACTCACACTCACCCACTGTCTCCTTCTATCCCTTACCTACTTTATGTTCTTCATAGTATTTATCACCCTGAAATTCTATTATTTATTTGCTTATTTGTATAAATGTTTATTCTTTCTCTTCTCCATTACACTGTAAGTCCTAAAAGGGCAGGGAGTTTCCTTGTTGACTACCGAATCCCCAATGCCCAGAACAGTGCTTGGCATGTCATTCAATAAACATTTATTGAATGAACAATGTACCAACAGATGAGAATTAAAATATCCATGTGGGTCAGGTTAACAATTTGAGGATACCAAGAAATTGCACATAGATGGCAAACAGATCCCCTGAACAAGTGGTTTATTTCATTTGCAAAAGAATTCTTCTACATGTTTAAACATGTGAACTATATAGTAAGCATGCACTTGTTTTCTTATATTTTAAAATTTCTTTGCAGCAGGTTATCCCTTTGAAATCCAACATCTATGGCAATACTATTAGAGGCATTTAAAACAGTCACAGGCATTTTCTTTTGTTTATAAAAATTAAAGCAGTAATAACTCAGTACCTTAGTATTTAATCTAGAACCATGCTATTCGCTATCCCTTTACTGAAAATTATGGATAAATTGACAAGTTTTTAAAATAATATGATAAGCACGAGGTAATGGAAATTGATCACTTATGAGCCAAATAGTGAATGTACAATCCAACATGAACAGCATAAAGCATATATTTTTTAAAATCAGGAATTGAGGGGGGCTTCTGGATGGCTCAGTTGGTTAAGCATCCAACTCTTGACTTTGGTTCAGGTCATGATCTCAGGATTATGAGATCAAGCCCCGCATCGGGCTCCATGCTGAGCATGGAGCATGCTTAAGAGTCTCTCTCTCCCTCCCCCTTGGCCCCTCTCCCACCCCACGCTCACTCTCTCTCTCTCCCTTTCTCTCTAAAAAAAAAACCAATAATAGGTAACTAAATAAATAAATAAAACAAATAAAATAATAAAATAAAGTCAAGTATTGAGTTTTACAAAGTTTTTAAGCAGTACCAAGTGTAATTTTGACTCCACAAATAGAGCACAGTTCATGAAGTTTAAATGAGTTTTAATTATTCTTGCTCTAAATACTTTCAGAATATAAGTACTTTTGTAGATTAACTAAAGCTATAAAGCAAAGAAAGAAGCATGTTAATTTAATCTCAGACCAGCCTATGGACTTTTCCCGAACAAACAGGAGAAAAAACTTCGAACATACCTTCCGAAATGCTTGGTTTTGTTTTGTGTTTGGGCCGATCCTCACAAGGATGAAAGTTCAGTTGCTGTAAGACTGCTGGACAGATGACAGAGAAGTTGGAGCTGCTTATCTGAGTGGCATTTGAAAAGCCATGAAGGGAAAAGATCTCTTCAGCTGATAGACACTGAAACAGGATAAACAAAGCAAACATGTATGTGTTAACATAGTAAAAGCATGCCAGCAAAGATACTTTAAAGAGACAGAGAATATTTCATCTAGACAAACAGCACTAACTCTACGCAAAAGCCCTAAAATTTTAAAACAGTCCATACCTCTTTAAACCTAGAAACAAGAAAAAAATAGCAAAAACAAACAAACAAAACAAAAAAATCCTTCTTGATCAATAGTCTACCTATGGCAGCCAAAAAGGTAAGAACTGGTTTGGGGGTTTCCAAGGACTTTACAAACATTAAAAGTAGACCAGTAGCTTTCAAATCAAAAGCTTTAAGAGGATTCTATATTATCAATCTCTCCTCTCTGTCTTTAGATTGGATATTTTGTGTAGGCTATTGGAGTAACTCTCTGTGACATTTCTTATAGACAAACACCTGGCTCCCTTACAGTTTCTTAAGAAACCCATCCATGCTTCTAGAGAGCAATAAGAATTCCAACATATAATAGTTGTTTTAAAGTATGTCTTTAGCACATATGGTTATTTGCTAAAATATGTATTGTTCTCAATGATGGTGGGTAGCTTTTCTCCACTATATAAGGTTTTGAAAATAGTGCTAGGCTGTTTAGAAATTCATTAACTATTAATAAAATTTTTCAGGGAAAAATTCTTTATGAAAATCACTTTTTAAAGGTATCATTTTATTCTTGGGCATATTTTAACTATAAACTATCATCCACATACTTGCATTATTGAGAATATAAAAGAAATTAAATGTGTTACTATGGTTAATAATCATTGTAAGAATTACAGACTGTGAAAATATCCATTCACTCAAACAGAAGAGTCTATTTTTAATAAGCACAATTCAGAAAAGTTTTTTGCATGCTTCAGCCAATATTTAAACCCCACTAAGATTTTACTTGGCTTTGTGCCATAGACTGGACTGTGTTCTCCCAAAATTCATATATTGAAGCCCTACCTCCTATTATAATGATATTTAAAGTTGGGGCCTTTGGAAAATAATTAGGGTTAGATGAGGTAATGAGGGTGGTGTCCTAGTCCAACTAGATTAGTGGTCTTCTAAGAAAAGACACCGAAGAGCTTGCCTGCCCTTTCTCTCTCCACCATGTGAGTAGACAGCTAGAAAGCATCCATTTGCAATCCAAAGACAGAGCCCTTACCAGACATCGACCCTTCTGACCTCTCGATTTGAACTTCCAGTCTCCAGAACTGCGAGAAAACTAATTTCCACTGTTTAAGCTACCCAGTTGACAGTATTCTGTTATGGCAGCGCAAGCTGACAAACACTCTATGAACGGCGTTTGAGAATTCAAAAGTTGATGTTAACTGTTTGACCATGAAGCTCTGTGATTCCCTTTACAACAGAAACAATGAAACTAAAAATTTTAAATGTAGGGGAAAAAAAGATCACTACTGATTATTAAGAAGAAAAAACATCAAATACACCAAGATGTGTGCATGTGTCAAAACTAAAATTGCAAATGCCTTAAAGAAAGTTCACATTTAGACTTCTTTCTTTGTTTTTTTTTAATGCCTAAATATGTGCTTAAAGCTATTACTTGTTCAAGCCATGACAATGGGTTTGGATTCATGACAATGATAGATGTGTACCATCCCTACAAGAGGAGACTCACCACTCTCAATGCTCCGTTCACAGTCTTCCCTTTGGCTGACTAGGGGGATAATAAGCTGAAGGAGGGGGAAAATAGCTCGAGTGGGCGAAGGAAAGTGGGAATAATTTATTCGTTACCATGAAGCCACCCAGGAGCATAATAGCTAGACTCAAAAATTAGAGTCCATGTGGTCAAACTGCCCACACGGCATGGCATGGTTCCAGGAATAAATGGCTATAGTAGCATAAACATAAAATGGCACTTTCCCTACAAGAAAGTCTTAACCTACTTGGACTTCAAGTTTCTCCAACTCCAACCCAGGATAAAAAGGGGAAGCTGCCCATAGATAATTTCCAAAGTCTTCTCAGAATTAACATACTAAGACTTCCTAAAACTTGACGGCTGTTAAGCAGTTCTTTTCAGACTGAGATGGTGACTCATTAGTGGGTCAGGAAATCCACTTACAATGTCACAGTCAGCATTTTGTAAGGAGCTAAAAAATATAAGAGAAACTATAGAGCGTACCACACAACACAAGAGTAAGTATTATTTAGTGAAACTTTTGCTCCAGTTACACAGCATGCACAGAGATACTGGATCACAATGTAAAATGCATTTTTTTTTTTTTTTACCGTAAATGGCAGTGAAGAGTTTGAAAGTCACTGCCTTCAAAAATACTTTAATTGTGCATCATACATCATTAAAGACACTCTCCTCCATACAGTTGGGGGGAAAAATCGTGTAGCCAAAGGAACATATAATCAATACTGTAAGACAGCTTGGAGTCTTGATGATCTGTTAAGCGCCTGTGTAGAAATTTTGGCTGGACAGGTGGTCATGGATAATAATGCTTTGACAGTGGCAACTGCTCAGTCTCCAGAAAGAACAAGGAGGTGGAGAGACAATAAAACTCTAGGCTTTGCCTAACTGAGAAACAGACTCTTAATTCTAGAGAACAAACTGATGGTTACCAGAGAGGAGGTGGGTGGGGGGATGGGGAAAACAGGGGATGGGGATTAAGCCGTGCACTTGTCATTCTACACCTGAAACTAATATAACGCTGTATATTAACTAACTGGAATTTAAATAAAAACTTAAAAAAAATACTCTAGGCCTTGCTTTATGAGAATAAGGACAGAAGAGTCACAGCATCCTAGCAGTGTGGCAAAACTCAATTAATGGCAGGCCTGATTTATTTAAAACAGCCATCGAGGCTCTTTCCACAGTTTGGCTATTATGGACATTGCTGCTATAAACATCGGGGTGCACATACCCCTTCGGATCCCAAGATGAATGGATAAAGAAAATGTGGTGTGTGTGTGTATATATATATATGATGGAATATTATGCAGCCATCAAAAGGAATGAAATCTTGCCATTTGCAACGACGTGGATGGAACTGGAGGGTGTTATGCTGAACGAAATAATCAAAGAAAGACATGTATCATACAACCTCAATGATATGAGGAACTCTTAATCTCAGGAAACAAACTGAGGGTTGCTGGAGTGGTGGGGTGTGGGAGGGATGGGGTGGCTGGGTGATAGACATTGGGGAGGATATGTGCTATGGTGAGCGCTGTGAATTGTGCAAGACTGTTGAATGACAGACCTGTACCTCTGAAACAAATAATACATTATATGTTAAAAAAAAAAGAAGAAGAAGAAGATAGCAGGAGGGGAAGAATGAAGGGGGTGGAAATTGGAGGGGGAGACGAACCATGAAAGACTATGGACTCTGAAAAACAAACTGAGGGTTCTAGAGGGGAGGGGGTGGTGGGATGGGTTAGCCTGGTGATGGGTATTAAAGAGGGCACGTACTGCGTGGAGCCCTGGGTGTTATATGCAAACAATGAATCATGGAACACTACATCGAAAACTAATGAGGTAATGTACAGTGATTAACATAACATAACAATAAAAAATAAATAAATAAATAAAACGCAAAAAAATAAAATAAAATAGCCATCGACCAGCAAGTAGGATGCCAATAGCTTTATGCAGCCGCCTATTTGGCTTTATAATCTCAATGTCCATAATGCTTTGATTTAACCAAGTTGAACCTGCAACAAAGGAAGCAGTTGTCTAAGAAAGGGCGGTGTTTCCCAGGGCAAGGGCAAACAGGATGAGAGCCCAGTGCCTGAACAGTGAGGTGACAACAAAACCGGTGGAACAGTTGAGGAAGGTCAAACATCCTCTCAAACATACCCCTTCACTTCCAAAACAAACAAGGAATAAATTATGGAACCAGTAGGAGCCACAAGGTCTCTTTATGAAAGGATCCAGGATGATGAGCCTGAGTAGTATGTGTCTTAATAAAACTTCCTGAGCTTTTCTACCATCTGCTTTACATTTACGTACTGAGCTTTTTTCTTTCCATCTATTTGTTTTCACAACACCGCTATGCTCGAGGGTACCACCCTGCTGCTTGCTGCCGCCCTTTAAGCTTTGTGCTACAGGAGGCAAACTCCAGCCAGCAGATACCCTAGTATTCAGTGGGTTGATGTCTTTCTTAAAGACATTTTCTCAGTGTCTGAGTTAAACTCCTTGAGTCTCTTGCCACATTAAGGGGATCTCAAATGGGTCTTCTGTAGATGAAGTGCCAAAGTAAGGAAATAGGAGAGGTAAGGGGGTTGAGATTCATATCATACACCAGATCTCAAATTATATTCAAAACCATTTAACCAAAGAGTTCCATGCATTTCTTCTTCTACTTCCCCTACTCCTTTTTCCTCACCAATTCTGACTAATCAAAAATTTTGCTTTTTTTTTTTTTTTTTGCTGTGTTTGCCTCCTTCCCAGACATATCTTTCTGGAAATGCTGATGCAGGGAGGGGACAGGGCAGGGTTGAATGATAAGGACAACTTCCTCCTCCAACATTTTGTAGAGTTAAAACCTGCTTATGATAAATGCCAACGAGTCAGGCAAGATTTGAAATTACACAGCGTGGATAATGATACAGGCGCTGTCCTTGACTAAACTTTGATCAGGCTCCTCTAAGCCCATGAGGCCTTAGTCTTGCGTCCATCCTTATAGGGCCTGCACTGTCCGGTTTTAGCAAGAATCCTGCTAAGTTACTTTAGAGAGAATCCTCCATCCTTGATATTTGATCACCCTGGTCTGCCTTCAGCAAGAATCCTATTAAGTTTGCTTAATCAAAATCCCCCCCACCCACCCATGATGTTTCCCCGTAGTAATTTTCCATTCATTGATCTGATCCTCAGCTATAAATCCCCACTTGTCCATTGATGTCTTTGGAACTGAGCCCAGTTCTTGAATAAAATCTGTCTTTACCGCTTCAACTACTGTTGTACTATGCTACTAGTATCATAACCGTGTAGTTGTACTACGCAGTGCATAAATGCTTTCCTTCATCC